GCGGCAGTGGAAGCGGTAGCAGCAATGTTAACGACACGTTTCACGATAGGCTGTACTAATAAGCTTCGCAATCGATCGGGAGCATTATGAATTGGTGAGTCTACCAAGTAAATTCGAACGAAATGCATAGCTGGGTTCCAGATGCTATCTGCATCTCCATTGAGACCAGAACGATAAATTGGTGGCATAAAGGGAAACCATTGGATGCAATATTAATAAAGCTGTTACGAAAACATGGTAAGAGAGAGTGAGCAATAAAGCAAGAGATCAGAAGATTGGGTGACAAGGAGAGAGACAATGCAAATAAGCAAGCGTGTCAGAGAGAAAGACTGAAGCAAAGAAAGAAGGGAACTTTTTTCTGCGAATATTCTTCTTCTGCCTCTTCTTCTATCGGTTACTAATGAAAACTGGTTACACACTACTTTCAAATGAGCAATAACATTACAAATTGATAGAAAATTTGATTAGAAGCTGTTACTTCAAGCATAATCCCAAAGCCATTAGTGAATACTAATAGAATAGAACTACCATTATGAGATCAAAACCTGATTAAAACAAATAGCAAATATAAATTGCAATGATTTACATTCTAGTTCATTATGGTAATTAATACTCTTTCACTTCTATTGTTTCAAATGGTAGCATCAAGTAATGACATGATTGCACCATAAAGTATAGGGTAGAACGTTTCTGACATGTGCTGTGGTCATTAACTTATGAAAGTAGCATAGCGTTGCTACAGAAGATTTTAGGCCTAAGAAAAAAATGTTTGTTTTCGCTAACGAGCTGAAAAAAATTGGAAATGGTAGGCAGGCAAAACTTTTATCAAATTTTTTTATTTTTTATTCTAACAATACTTGTTTTATACTTATAACAGCCCATATAATGACTTTAAAGTCAAATCAATGCATTCACCGATCGATATGACGTTTGGAATTTTGTTATTAAAAATTTTTTTTTTTCCCCCCGATCACAAGAAAAAGTTTAGACATGGGGGTTTAAAATGGACTCGGTTGGGTTAGCAGAAACAAACGCCTTTTTTAAGCCTTAGTATAAAGCAGCTGAAGTTAGCAGAGGCTTGTCCGTGTTTCCCTACAGAGTTACTCGTATTGATTATTCTATGGTCAAACACTGGCGACTTGCCAGAGCTTCATGTGCAAAATTTTCCTCGCAAGCGAAATCTTCAGGAGCGCTATACACAAAGCAAGCGTGCTTGTGGTATAGTATGTCACGTTTGTATCACGTACATGTGTGTGTGTAAATTCCGTGTGTGTCTACATCGCTTTCCTCTTACTTCTAGGTTTTATGTGGTTAGAATCGCCACCATCTATTTTGATCTATGAAGAGACTTTTTTCTCCACATATTAACTACACGTGAATGTAGTGATGGCGGATGGGTTAATGATGTGTATAACATGATGGGTTAATACAGCAGAAGTACTTGCTGAACTACTAGCATCCAGAAAGTTAGATCGGTAGATATTAGAGTAGGACGCTACAAGACAGCAAGCTTCAACTGATAACTTACAGATTAAGATCATTTCTATTTCGACGTAAGACACAAGTGAAAAATATCAGGCCAGCAGGAGGCTACCCATCTCCCTTACCTCCTGCGGCGGGACATCAAATGAAAAAGTCCTCAGGTCAACCTTCCTGTACTCATCAATGCAGGGCAAAATGAAGAAAATACCTAAAAACAATCGCAAATAATACTGAGAAGTGATATCAAACACTGCATGTGACCATTAACACGCAGGCAACCCTGTCTAGCCCCAAGAAACGCATGCGCTGGGACTAAGCCAGAAGATCTGCCACAAGATTGCGACTGTTACGGACCCGAGTGATTGACCTGACCCTACCAGTGAGGGTCAACACAGGCACAACCAATGTTTAGCATAATGCGGATATTTACATCCGCGCAAACTCTGGTCGCAGTTGTGGCAGATCTCGCCAGTACAAGGGTTGCATGCTGCTAGGTCACCATGCACTGATCTGTCACCGAAAATTTACCTCCTGGGGTGGGACATCAAAAGACATGGTCCGAAGATCTACTTTCTTGTATTCATCAGTGCATGGAACAACGAAGAAAATACCTACAAACAATCGCAAATCTGCTATCATCTTTAGCTCTCACAGGGAGTTACCACACGGCAGCATGCATCCGACATTTATATGAATAACAAATTACATACTGACGTCAACTACTCAACTTTACCTACCACACGTTTGTACAGTGTGTGTGAAACAGGCACGTCTTAAGTATTCACATTGAAAACTTCCACCTATGGCATCAATCTATCTTAGTGACCTCCGTGTCACATATCGTGCCACCTTGAAAACATCTTTTCTTGATAGGATATTGACATTTTGATAATGGAAATAAACGTTTAACTATTAGCTAGACTGGATATTTATTTGTAAACATCAATGTAGTGTATAATTTTTTAAGCATCACGGCATGAGATGCGTTATATAATTCAAGCAAAAAGCAGCATCACTCCTGCCTCAGCAAATTATGTGCAAATAAATCACTTCTAAACAAAATTAAGCCAATTTGGTGCATCCTTTGTGAAATGGCAAATTGGTTTCTCATTGAAAAAAGTTCCAAGCCAGAAATTTGTCAATAATGTCATCATCACGTTAACGGGACTGCATCGTATGAAAGAACCAACACTATCGCATGATCCAATTGGAAGGTTTTGACATATTTACAATATTACATTTATTTCGTAGATCATATATTTGCGGATCTGAATTCAAATACGTCGCCCAGGTAACCGATGGGAATTTTGATCCATTCAGGAAATACTGAATTATACCCCGC